TGAATAATTTACAGAATCTGCTTTCAGAATTCAGCAATTTCAGATCACGATGGAGAAAAAAATGATCTATATGATCACTAAAAGCTGACAAAGGCTTGATGGCACATAATCAATGTTATTCATAAGAAACAATGACTAATCTAACATGGTAATTTTTGCTCTACCAATTCACATCCATATCTTTCACCACGACCACAAACCAAACTTGATTAAATTAAATTAAATTAACAGGATTCAAGATCATGTTTCAGAAAGTTTTTTTAATGAAGCATCCTATTAAAATGTGCAAGTTGCTAAGAGGTATGAATTCATTGTGCCTCCATGTCAGATTCTCCCGTATGAGCAGAAAATACAAAATTAGAGCCTCATCCCCATCTTTCTAGCTCTCCCTCTTCATGTGCCCTCAAGGACGATAATTAAGGCAATAAAACCAAGGAAATCATATACAGTTCTCCAAGTAATTTTAGTATGTTGCATTTCTCCACATACTTCATGAGATTAAAGAAATACACTGAAACTAGTGTTGTATTGAAACAAAGAAACAGAAACTGCAACTAAATGAAGGGGACAGGGATCTGAAAAGTCAAGAAAGCAGTAGTCACCACACAATAAAAGCCTTTTCCTTTTTCACATACATCACACATGAAAAAAACACACAAAAAAGGATGGGGCTTCAATCAAGCAATTACAACCACCACTTCTTCATTTTTGAAACCTCATTCCCTTGACCTAGGATCTCGCGGGGCTAAAAATGCCTTTCTTATCCATTTTTTAATTGGATTTGTCTTCTTACAAAATTGAAATGACAGTTAATTTTTTTTTCTTCCTCTTTGTCTTTAGCACTCTGTTCGAGTTATTCTATTATTGCTTCAATTTTGGGAAATGCTATTGCTACATACTTCGTTATCACTTTCACAAGCTGGGACTATAAAATCCAGTAGCCACACTGGAGAAGTCAGACATCCTCCTCCGAGGAGCCGCAGCAATGAAGGCACTAATGTTCACCCTCCTCTTCCTCCTCATTGCAGCCAATGAAGCCAAAGTATTTAAAAAATGTGAACTGGCTTCACTACTGAAAAAAAGTGGCATGGATAGCTCTACCGGCTATCCCTTGGAGAACTGTGAGTTGAGTTTACTCTTTTTCTCTCTCTATTTTAGCCTGATCCAGATTTTCAAGAGGGATGGGTCCTTGGGTCCTTCCTTGGTTGGGGGAAGAATGATTGAAGATGGTTAAATTTTCTGTGTAAGAAACTAGGACAGCTTTTCATTTGCAACACAAGCCTTTTATACTCCTTTCCCTGTTTGCTTTCTTCCAGGGATCTGTATGGCTTATCATGAGAGTAGATACAACACCCAAGCTGTCGGGCCACCAAACACAGATGGCAGTCTTGACTATGGGATCTTCCAGATAAACAGCCGCTATTGGTGCAACAATAACCAGGGCCCTACAGCTAATGGCTGCAACAAGCCTTGCAGTGGTAAGACACCTAGTGTAGCGGATAAATTATCTCTGATGAAGGAATACAAGAATTGTTAGGAGAATTATTAAAATAAAGTTGAAAATAATGACAATTCAGTCTAGGAAAGAAAGAGGTAGGAGGGAGAAGTCTTGACAAGCTTTCAAA